ACAAACTCTCTGGGTGAACAAAAGTAGTAGTAGTTGAAGCTGGTGGCATGACCATGTGAAAGGAGAGGAAAGGATGAGGCAGCTGCACGGTTAGACGTCATTATCAGTTAAGAAACCCAGCCTCACGGCAACCCATTTACGTAAGCTCTTTGTTTAGATATATACAGTAAATTAGTATTCATCATCATCCACTGCTGATTTAGAGGAGAAATTGTTACAGCTTCCAATTAATATATATATAAAGGGACCCATTGGAGAGACCAGATCCCTCTCCCTCCACTACTTTTCCTTTTCTTTTTCTTATGTAAATATTAAATAGAAATGTTTATTATAGTTTCATTTGGACTATACTTTTTCAATAGATAAATTTTTATCTTTTTTTTTTAACAAATTTATAAGGGATCGGATTCAAACCGTTGTTTTGGGAGTGGAAAAATGTACTTATACGTGGTCTGACGTCACTGGGCCCAAAGGTCAAAGTGTAATTTTTACTTTTTTTATATATCTAAATGAATAATAAAAAAAATGATTAAAATTTTTTTTTTATCAAATTTAAGATTTGAATTTAAAACTTTCAACTTAAAATTTAAAATTTTTAATTATTGAATTATCTTTTAAAAATTATAAATAAAATTTTATTTTATTTTATTTTTTTAAACAAAAAAAAGTAAAAAGCCATACACTGTAATTTTAAATTTTGATTGAAATCATTAATTTAAGTACATCCCACCAAAACAACAGAGGTTGCAGGTGCAAATAAAATTTTATTATTGAGGATTAATATTTATCTTAAAGTTATAATTAATTTTGTTTATAATTTAATATATTTTAGATGCTTGATATTAAATAAAAAACAATACATTAAGTGTGCTTTTCATAAGGTGTGAAATAGAGGAAAGGAAAAAAAAATGTGGGGTTTTGGCTCATAGGGGCTACTTTCAAAGATAAGAAAGTCATCAGTGATCCTGTACCCAATCATAGCCCATTTGATCCGCAGTCATATTGGACTGTCTGTCTCATAACATGGACCACTTGAATCTGATGTAATTGTTATATCAGATTTTTGCTGCAACCAAAAAAACAAAAGGGAGGAGCTAAGTGGATGACATGCAGAGACTGATTTTAGTGATGGGGGAGGTGAGCAATTATGGAGTCAGTGTCGATAACAAGGCTAGAAACGTTTTTTTTTTTTTTAAACATGTTTACAAGGTTGGATTTGAATCGTTATTCGGATAAAGAGTAATGTATTTTAACGTGACTTTATTGCCACTAAACTGAAAAAGAGAGCAAGCCTAGAAACGTTTTTGGGGATGACATGAGGCCCAGAAATTGTATCTTTTGTAATTACATAATTATCTTTCTTTGAAGAAAGCTTGTTAGTTAAGTGACTCAGTAGTTTAATGTAAATTTTTTTCATCATGACAAGGGTTTAATCCCCTCCCATCCCCCTCTCTTGAACCACTTACCCAAATCAAAAAAAAAAAAAAAATCTCTTTCCATACATAATAATGCAGTAGCCCTTAATGGTAACATACATACAAAACTAGAAGATGAGGATTTAATTTAAAATTTGGGTAGCCGTTTTTATTGTGAATCCTACTAGCTAGCAACTATATATAGAAGATGGACCACTAAATTAATTGCTTTATTTATTTATTTAAGCAAGTTTATATGATATGGTTCTGACTTTGTTTTTTTTGGTAACTTATTCAACATGTTACGTTAATTTATTAAATGGGGCATTATAATTAAGGACCATTATTTATTAGTCACACCCTCTTTGTTTATGAAGCTAGGGTAACTAAGGGTTAGGGTTTTATAGGTTACGTTTCTTGGAACCTAATGGTAGTACTTGATTGATTGATTGATTGTAGGCCAACATTCATATAGATATTATTTATCTTTCCTAATCTATCTTAAGAAAACATGTTTAAAAGGAGTGGTAAATCCTTGGTAAAAATTATAATCATGCACCAGTCCACCATGGTGTTTTCTTGGTGTTTGGTAGCCCAACCTCGATCAGGATGAACAAATTGGCAATATTGGTAGTTCCATATATTTCATTATATATGTCCAGTTACAATTGAGACATCATTTAAAAAAAAAAAATTGAAAAACATTTGAATAGCCCGTTTCGATCAAGTGATATGAATCTTGAATTAGGGATGTTTACTTCTTGTAAGTGTAAGATTTGAATTTCACGGATCCGATTTTTTTATCCCTTAATTAACTAATACTAACTAATTTTAAACTGTTAAAAAAAAATAAAAAAGAAGAAAATAATTGAGAGGCATGTTTGATTTGAGAATGCAGATAGTTTGTGAGGCCAAGAAGGAACAACTGGAAATGAAATGCTACTCTCAATTTTGTTGCATGGCTGATTTTATTTATTTATTTTTCATCGTCTACTCCCAATATAAAAATCTATCTGCATTTAAGGAATGCTAGTTTGTGACGCCATGGCAGTTTGAGGCATAAGAAATGCTGTAGGGGGGTGTTTACTGCAAGATATCATATGATAAAAAGAATATATACTAAATTGTGATCAAGCATCTCGCATACATTTTGGCCAAAAAATAAAAATTGCATTTTCCACTCCACCTTTAGTCCTAGAAAAAACTACAAGAAACCCCGCTAAGATTAACAGAGAGAGAAGAAGAACAAAAGCAACCATGTTTTGTTAAGTTTCTAAATGCTTAATTTTTTGATACTATTTACATTTTATAAATTTAAATATTTTTTTAAAAAAATTTATATTTTAATTTTTTTTAATTTTTAAAAAAAATTTAAACAGTAAAAGCTCAAAAAATTTAAATTTTTACTTTTCATAAAATTTATTTTTACTCACTTTTTTTAATTTTTAAAAGTAATTTAAAATTTTTTTTTCAATAAAAATTTAAATTTATCACTCATAAATAATAAAAAAAAATCTCTTACAAATTAATCCAAATATGCTCATAATACTCTTTTTGGTGTTTTTGGTTATCAACTCTATATGCATTTTTAAGTAAAATTATTTATATAATTAATAAAATAAAATTATTTAACAATATTTATTTATATAAAAAAAAATCTTTTAAAAGTATCATTCATATAGCCAGGAGGTCAATATAATGTATCTAACTTTTATTAAAAAGATAAATATGGAAGGAAGGAGTAAAAAAGAAAGAGAGTAAAGAGGGGGGCAGGGGGGGTGAGGTAATAAAAAGGAAAAAATTGATCTTGGTTGATATCTATTATGGTCCAGGATGCAGATATCTTATTATAATAATGGTAGTAGTGATGCTTAAACAGGTGCAAGCTTGTCTTGTAGTGATTGGAATTTGTGGAAAATTCCACATATTCACATAAGAATAGATTGGGTGAATCGTAGTACAAATTTGCTTTTTGGTGGTGTGGTGCTGTTTTGTTTTCCTCTCTTTCACTCTCCATCTCTCTGTCTCTTTCTCTTTCTCTTTCTCTTTCTCAACACCAACGGTATTAAAACTCATACCTTAAATCTCCTTCCTTCTTCTTCTGCTTTGTTTCGAAATTCCTTTAAAGGTTTGTATGCTCTATGATTAATAGTACTTCTAAATATCTGTATGAATTATCTTATGATTTTTTCCCTTTTTTTATTTTTTAGTTTTATGGATTTGAGATCATTGCTCAAAGTTTTGATGGTGGATGATATGTTTCCTCAAAGTCTCAATCTGGAGCACCTTTCTGGGTTTGCCCACATAAAATAACGCTACCTCCTACCCTCAACTTTAGACTTATAAGTTTATAACAACGTATGTATTTGCTTTTGGGTTTTGTTCTTTGCTTATTTTGTGCTTTAATTACTTCATAAATCAAAATGCAGATGCCTCAATTTCACTCATTCCCTTCACATAAAATAATGTTCTGGAATCTCCTTGTTTGCCTTCTTCTTCTGGGGCCTCTCTTCAGACTTTTCATCTCATATTCTTTCCTGGTGTTTCTTTGCAGGCTAATGGACGTGGTTTTGTTTAATCTCAAAAAATGGAAAAATAAGAAAAAAAAAAACTGCATAAACTTGATTTCCATATTTCATTACTACATTGAATCCAAAGGAGGAAGAAATAAACAGCTCTCTCAGCTGCTGAAGTTGCATTGCCTGTGTAGCTATTGTTTTTGCTGTTGATGGTGTCTGGCCATCAGGACTTTTGTCAAGGAAAAGCTCAAGGTTCATTACGTATTTGATACAAAAATCTCATCATCATGCACAGACCATCCTAAGATAGACTTGGGGAATAATACAGTGACGGTTTAAGATGACCTGTTGAGGGCAATGCAGCCACACATGCAGCTCACCAGAACGTTCTGAAGTAGTGCAACCCCACATATCTGCACCTGTATTGGCTTGCCCGGGCGGGACTGAACTGAAGCTGGTATTTGACCCTCCTTGTGGTTCGTCAAGGAATGTAGACTTCTTAGACTGCGGCTACATGGCTTGAGCACTAGCGCGTGAATCCTTATGCTTCTCGATCTACCATCATTGGTTGCAATTGCAATTGCAATTGAGACACCAGGTAACATTACCCGGCTTCCCCTCAAGCCTTCATAGTGTTTTGCAGTGAAAGTAAAGATCTAATATGAGTGGAAATAAACATAAATTCAAGAATTAACTTGAATTGATATGATCATAAACATTGAAATTGAAAGAACATAAACTGAGTTTTATCTGGTAAACATGGAGCGTGCATACTGTTTTTCAGCATTAAGTTCTTCCCCATCAACCTGAGAACGGGAGTGGAACAAGATGGACTGGCAGACTCACAATCAACTTGACCTGAATACTTCACTCCAGCATCCATACATCCCTTTGAAGGAGTGGGACTTGCCAGAGGTTTCATTGCTAGTAGAACAACCTTCTGAGGTACTGAACTTGACGAGCTGCTCAGAGAAAATGCCCCCGGCCTCACATCCAAATTATTAGGTCTGATGTTTGGACTTGTACCCATTTTCATTTCCATAGCAGGCATTGTCACTGAAGCCATCGTTGGTCGCTTTAGTAGTGTTGATTGCTGAAAATTTAGAGCAATACCCTGAGAAGATATTTCTTTTCTCTGGCAACAGCATGGCTGATCATCATTCTTCAAAATGAAAGGTCTCTTTTCAACAAAGATTCTATGGACATCAAAAGCTCTTTAAGGTACTGGGCTTGTCTGCATAACCATAAAGGCATTTTCCATGTAAGACTTGGTGTTAGTACTAGAGAAACCTGAGACAATCTTTTCTTCTACTGGAGCAGCACCAGCTGATGTCAATGATTCTGAATACCTCAAATCAGATTTAGTGGCTATGGGATTGGAGATGGTTGATGCTGCAGATATGGGAGAATCTGAAGAATCCCCATCTACCAAATCAAGCAGATCTTGAGATGACTGAGCAGGACTTGTGGTCAACGAGGAGTTCCCTTGAAAGTCATCTGAATTCATAGCCCTGGGACTGGGAAGAAATGATCCTGGTGGTCCTGGAATAGGTATTGGATCAACCTCAGGAAAAGAGTCACCTTGTGCTGCTTCAGAATTCATTAATTCTGCTCCTACATTTGCATTTCCAATCATGTCGTGCCCAACTTCATCAGTAGAAAACATGTCCCGTCTGTGAATAAAACCAGACCCAATTGCACCAGGCAGTGCTTCTTCCCCACACAAAGCCCCGTTATATTCTTCAATAGTTCGTAGAGAATTGGATCTACTCTTATAAGGATCACTCAGATTGTGGCACTTGGTTTCTGATTACTTGCTCAGACTGGTAACCGTCTCCTCAACAGATTCCAAGCCATCAAAGTTGTCTAGAATATCATCATCATCAGCACTAACAGAAGAATCTGAGTTCACCCCCTCATCATGATCACTGTAACAAGATGCTGGTTCTGAGCTCTTCAAAGCTATAGTCTCATCTGTATAACGGACATCTTCACCTAACTGGTTTTTGTTTCGCTTCGCTGCTGGAGAACAGTTGGAGTAGAAAATAAATTTTCATACAAAGTCTTCAACTTTCCTGCTTGATCAGTCTGAGCAGGCAATTCTGGACTACCGTGCCATTTACAAAATAAAGGTTGGAGGCTATCTTTTAAAAGTATCACTCATATAGCTAGAAGGTCAAATACAATACAGGAAAAAATTGATATTGGTTGATGTCCATGGTCCAGGATGGTGATATATCATCATAATAATGGTGGGAGTAATGGTAAACAGATACAAGTTTGTCGTGTAGTGGTTGGAATTTGTGGAAAAGAGGTGACTAAAACCGACATTTGAGTAAAGGAAGGATTCATAAAAATCAAGAATAAAGAATGAGAGAAAATGAGGGGAGTTGTATTGTATGGTAGGTATGGGAGGGGACAACTTTATGTATAATTTGCAAAATTTACAAGTAAAAGAAATTTTAATCTCTCTCTTGCTTGCTGTACTACTAGTCCTTGTTTCTTGGCCCTCATTCAGAGTCTTAAAACGCATATTCACATGAGAGAATAGTTGGGTGAATCGTGGTAGTGATTAATAGTACAAATTTGCTTTTTAGTGGTGTGGTGTGGTGTGGTGTGTGAGAAAGAAAGAAAGAAAGAAAGAAGAAAAAAAAAAAAAAGAAAGAAGGAAAAGAAAGAACCTGATGCCCTTTTGATGTGTGAGTGGGTGGTGCTGTTTTGTTTTCCCCACTCTGAGTCTCCGATCCTCTTTCTCTTTCTCTTTCTCTTTCTCAACACCAACGGTATTAAAACTCATATCTTAAATCCTCTTCCGTCTTCTACTCTGCTTCAAAGGTTTGTATGCTCTTTGTAATCTTAAATCTTCTCTTTGCTCTCCTCTTCTGTTTCTTTCTAATCATCTGATTTCTTTTCTACTGGGTCTTTAGTTGGACTTCAAAAAAAAATTTTTCCCTTTTTTTTTAACTCCTTTTTTGAACGTTGAAACATGGGGTGTGAGATTTCAGGATCCCTTTTTTTTTTTTTTGTTTCTCTGTTATGTTTCTGGAAGTCAGTTCAATATTTTTGACAAACCAACTGGACTGGGTTCATCTCATCAAAGTCTTTCTGTTCTTCACCGGTGGAAAGGAAAATCTGGTCATGGGTTCATCCTTTGATTTGAGATTCTATATATATTCATATATGTTAATTATAATCTAACTATGTCTGTCAAAATCTTTCTCTTTTCATGCTTTGATTTCGAGTCTTTTAGGCTTTTGTGCCATATTTCTTGCTGGACTTGGAAAATTTTTCCCCTTTGTATTTTTTTTTTTCTTTCATTTACTTCTAAATATCTGTATGAATTATCTTATGATTTTTTTCCTTTTTTGTTTTCGATGGATTTGAGATCATTGCTCAAAGTCTTGATAGTGGTTGATATGTTTCCTCCAAGTCCCAATTTGGAGAACCTTTCTGGGTTTGCCCACATAAAATAACGCTACCTCCCACCCTCAACTTTAGACCTATAACAACATATATACTTGCTTTTGGGTTTTGTTCTTTGCTTATTTTGTGCTTTGCTTCATAAATTAAAACGCAGATGCTTCAATTTCACTCATTCCCTTCACATAAAATAACGTTCTGGAATCTCCTTGTTTGCCTTCTTCTCCTGGGGTGTCTCTTCAGACTTTTCATCTCATCTTCTTTCCTGGTGTTTCTTTGCAGGCTAATGGATGTGGTTTTGTTTAATCTCGGCTGCTGATATTTTTTTTGTTTAATCCCCTTGTGCCTGGCTGCTGCTGCTGCTTTTGTTTTGTGGTGGGGTTTGTGGGTCTTTACTACTGGAGAGGAGAGGGAGATAGAGAGGTATACTGTTATGCTGAAGATAAAGGGCAGTGGTGGAGAAACAAGAGGTGGAACTGATCAGCTTGTGACTGTTGCAATAACAGCACAAGAAGATAGAAGCTTTTCATCAGATGTTATCCATCGAAAACCCTCCACCAGATCCTCCATTTCCCTGCCAGTTGAAAAGTGGTAGTGATGATCAGATTGAGAAGGCTTCTCATAACCTTCCTTTGCCTGAGGTAGATCTGCTGAAACAGCCACCCCTTCATCTTACCCCACCTTCTAAATTTTCCATAAGGTAATTTCTTCTTTCTCCATCTTGCTTTTCATTCATCTTCTAACTTGATCGGGAATAGTAACTTGGTCTGGATTGTTTTGTCATGGCTTTGATCTCATCCCATCCCATCCAACACCTTTGCCTTTTTGGGGGTCAGACTCAGATCCAGAATTACTTGTTGCTTGTGGTTCAGTTCAACATGGGGCCTCACTCATGGCATACCCCAGACTTGTCCTTTTGTGGGGAGGGGCTTCTGCTTCTGCTCCTGCTCCTGCTCATCAAGCTGGGCTCTTCTTCCTATGATCATGTCTTCGTGATTTCATGTTCTTTTGTGTGTGGGATTTTCATCTCAGGGTTATACCTGCTGAGAAAAATTCTTGCTTTATCTATTTGGGGCACCTGCCTGCCCTCCTGTTTGCCCAACAGCTTGCATTTTTATTTAATATAACTACATCATTGAATCCTGGATTTTGTATGCTTACTGCTGATGTGTTTCTCTCCATGGGGTTTTTAGGGTCCAAATTCTCCCTCTCATCATCAGTTAAATACATACAATATAAGAATCTACTAGCTTCATTTTGGCAGTCTTAAGATTTTGTGTTTATAGGTTGGATGTATAAGCTTATGAAATTTGTCTTCAAATTTCTTCTGTAGGGATTATGTGTTCTGTGCACGGAGCAAGGATATTAAGAAGAGTTGGCCATTTTCGTTCAAAAATCTTCAACTTTGTTTGAAACATGGCGTGAAGGATCCTTTGCCACCTTTTCAGCATCTTGACACTGTAAGAAACCCATCTTCAACCGGATGTACTGGTGAAGACCAAAACACCAACAAGTTTGATGGGTCCAGTCATCACATGGTGCTAGAATCATCCAATGATTCTCAATCCATCCATAATCTAGAAATTATTTGCGTAGACAATAATAGCTCATGCAGATCTGGAGGAGAAAATGACAATGATTTCCCATCAACAAGTGTTTCTCAATCTGAAATAGAGTCTGTTCCCTTTGACAAGCCATCTAAATCACCACTAGGAACTGATACCTCCGTAGAAGCCTCAGCTGAAGTTGAAGCCACAATTCCTTCCAAGTCACTCAGGACTGAAAACACAGTTCGGTCCTCTGGCAAGAAGTGCAGATATATAGTAAAATTTGGTGCCAACTCTGATCGTAGTTTGACTGAAGATATTGCCCCAAATTTTAGTTTGGTATCTGTATCTATGGCTTCCCAGGTTTGCCCTGTTTGCAAAACTTTTTCATCCTCTTCCAATACCACGATGAATGCTCACATGGATCAGTGTCTTTCTGTGGAGTCAACACCCAAGTGGACTGTGGATTCTAAACTTACCAGGCATAGAATTAAATCAAGAAAGACGAGATTGATGGTAGATATCTATACCACTGCAAAACATTGTACATTAGAAGAGCTTGATAAAAGGAATGGTACCAGCTGGGCCACAGGTTTTAGTATGCCTGTTCAGAATAGTGAGAAGCTTGAAGCATCTGATGAAAGAAAGAAGCATGTTAGAGCTTCCCCAGTTCCTCTTGAGGACGATGCTGATGTTGGTACTGTTTATGTTGATGCCAATGGCACCAAAGTTCGGATTTTATCAAAGTTTAATGAGTCACTGTCAACCTCAAAACTTAGAGAGGATCTTGAACGAAAGAAATCTTTGAAGGGAGGTAAAAGAAGCAAATTCTTTTCAAGAAAAAAGAAAAGGCGACATGAATTTAAACATCTCAAACACCTGAAACATTCTACTCAAAGCAGAAAATTTCTCTCTCAGAAGGCACCGGCTTCAAAGGTATTCCTCTTGTTATTTTCCCTTCAGGTTCTAGTTACCAAATCATTTTTTTACCTTTTTTTTTTTTCTTTTCCTATTATCCTATTAGCCGAACCTCTTTAAAAGATTAAATATTTTGTCCTATGTTTAACCGCATGATTTGAGCTTCTCGTATACATGTCCAATGTCTTATAAAAGCTTTAGTTTATTATTAATCAAGTTAGAGATAGCTTAAAATGCTTTTTGAGTTCCAGTATTCTGTCCCCATGCATGCAGTTTTTAGTTGTTATCTCGATGATAACAAGTTTGATATCAGTCTGAGTATTTGCTTTTCTGCTCATGGAGGTTGTATCATCTCTTAACCCAGTTAGTGGGATGCATTGTTTGCCATGCATTCTGCTTACGGAAAACAAAATTTTAAATTTCATATTTGTTGCAATTTTTTCGATTCAAAGATTTAGTGATATTGTAGTTATATTGTGCTTACACAGATGGTTGGGGATCAAGACGGATATTGTGCAATGGAAACAACTTTAAAGGATGAGGAACATTGGATACGTAATGAAATCAAGTCTAGTTGGTCTGGAAACTTAGGAAAACGGGTATGCTCTAAGAGGACTGGTATTGCAAGGAAGGTTAAATGTCAAGATAGCCTCCAACCTTTATTTTGTAAATGGCATGTTAGTTCAGATTTGCCTGCTCAGACTGATCAAGCAGGTTTTGCTGATCCTGTTGTGAAAAGAAATGGAAAGTTCAAGACTTTGTATGAAAATTTACTTTCTTCTCCTGAGAACAGTGGGAGGACTGATAAACACTTGAATGAATCACAGGCTATTGATGAAGCGGAGCATTCTTGTAGTAGAAAGAGAGTGAGAAGTCCATTGATTGAAGCTAAGGTTGCTAACAAAGGTGAGATGTGTTCTCCAGCAGTGAAGCGAAACAAAAACCAGTTAAGTGAAGATGTCCATTGTACAGATGAGAGTCAAGTGTTGAGACCTCCAAATTTTGCATCTTCACTGAGCAACAAAACAATTGGTATTGAAGCATCTAGTGACCCCGATTCCCCTTTAGACTCTAGCTCAAGCCCAGCTATTAGTCCTTATGTTTTTTCATCAAAATTCATAACAATTCCCTCATTAAAGAAGAATTCCTTGTCCACTAGCAGCAGATCTTCAGTGGTTGCTCCGACACCTAACTCAGTTAAGAATTGTTCAATAACAAAGAAGGGTCGACTGCATTTCTTGGAAGAAATAGATGAGGTGCCTCAAGCATGGGAGCGGGAGGTGGAACAACAACAAAGAGAATCAGTGAGTACTTGCAGGAGGGATGAGACTATAGCTTTGAAGAGCTCAGAACCAGCATCTTGTTACAGTGATCATTATGAAGGGGGGAACTCAGATTCTTCTGTTAGTGCTGATGATGATATTCTAGACAACTTTGATGGCTCGGAATCTGTTGAGGAGATGGTTACCAGTCCGAGCAAGTCATCAGAAACCAAGTGCCACAATCTGAGTGATCCTTCCAAGAGTAGATCCAATTGTCTACGAACCATTGAAGCATATAACAGGGCTTTGTGTGGGGATGAAGCACTGCCTGATGCAATTGGGTCTAGTTTTATTGACAGACGAGAGATGTTTTCTACTGACGAAGTTGGGCATGACATGATTGGAAATGCACATGTAGGAGCAGAATTAATGAATTCTGAAGCAGCACAAGGTGACATTTTTCCTGAGGTTGATCCAATACCTATTCCAGGACCACCAGGATCATTTCTACCAAGTCCCAGGGCTATGAATTCAGATGACTTTCAAGGGAACTCCTCATTGACCACGAGTCGTGCTCAGTCATCTCAAGATCTGCTTGATTTGGTAGATGGGGATTCTTCAGATTCTCCCGTTTCTGCAGCATCAACCATCTCCAATCCCATAGCCACTAAATCTGATTTGAGGTATTCAGAATCATTAACATCAGCTGGTGCTGCTCTAGTAGAAGAAAAGATTGTCTCAGGTTTCTCTAGTACTAACACCAGGCCTCCCGTGGAAAATGCCATTATGGTTATGCAGACAAGCACAGTACCAGAAAGAGCTTTTGATGGAGAAAAAAATAGGGTCCATAGAATCTTTGTTGAAAAGAGACCTTTCATTTTGAAGAATGATGATCAGCCATGCTGTTGCCAGAGAAAAGAAAAGTCTTCTCAGGGTATTGCTCTAAATTTTCAGCAATCACCACTACTAAAGCGACGAGCAATGGCTTCAGTGACAATGCCTGCTATGGAAATGAAAATGGATACAAGTCCAAACATCGGACCTAATAATTTGGATGTGAAGCCAGGAGCATTTTCTCTGAGCAGCTCTACAAGTTCAGTACCTCAAAAGGTTGTTCTACCAGCAATGAGACCTCTGGCAAGTCCCACTCCTTCAAAGGGATGTATGGATGCTGGAGTGAAGTATCCAGGTCAAGCTGATTGTGAGTCTGCCAGCCCATCTTGTTCCACTCCCGTTCTCAGGTTGATGGGGAAGGACTTAATGGTGGCCAACAAAGATGATGCATCTGTGCCAGTTGGGCAGTCACAGCAATGTCGTCCAAGCAACCATTTTCCAACATCTGGAATCTCTCAAGGGATTATCCGCAATCAGGATTGCCAATCCTTCCGTCATAGAGTACCTCTGGATTCCTCAACTTTTGGTCAGCTTCCACATAACATGGTGGGGCCATCTTTTGATGTCAGATTATCAAACAGCTATGCATACCTTGAAACTGCAGGAACACCTCAAATTCCAGAAATTTCAGTAGCCAGGTTCCAAGACCAGTGTATGGAGCATGGATTCTCAACCTTCATGGAGCCTTACAAGTGTGAAAGCAATTATATTTCACCAACAAGACAGAATAAACCTAAAGCCAAAGTTGGTCTGCCATCCACTTGTGCAACGGGGAAATTTACGAGTCTTGACTGCCAAGAAAAATATTCCGACCCTGCTGCTTCCATTAAAGAAATAATTGTCCTTGATGGTGCTCCTGAAAATGAAACCAGCACAGCAGCTGATATTGCAAAACACTATGAAGGCTTGAGGGGAAGCCAGCTAATGTTACCTGGCGTCTCAATTGCAATAGCAACCAGTGATGGCTTAAGGCATGTGAATCCTTTCTCTTGTTACCAGTCAAAGGAGTCTACATACCTTGGCAAACCACAAGGAGGGTCAAATACCAGCTTCCGTTCAGTCCCTCTTGGGCAAGCCAATACAAGTGCAGATAGGTGGGGTTGTACTACTTCAGAAGGTTCTGGTGTGCTGCATGGGAGTCCGTTTGTGGCTGCATTGCCCTCAACAGGTCATCTTACACCGTCACTGTATTATCCCCCAAGTCTATCTTAGGATGGTCCTGTACATGATGATGAGATTTTTGTATCAAATCAAATATGTAATGAATCTTTGAGCTTTTCCTTGACAAAAGTACTGACGGCCAGACACCATCAATAGCAAAAACAATAGCTACACAGGCAATGCAACTTCAGCAGCTGAGAGAGCTGGTTATTTTTTCCTCCCTTGGATTCAATGTAGTAGTGAAATACGGAAATCAGTTTAGGCAGCAGCTTTTCCTCTTGTTTTTTTCTTTTTGTTGATGCTTCAGCTTAGGCAATGCATGGGAAAGCCAAGGCAAAAGACCAGATAATGTACAAGTAAATGATATGGTTATATATAAATTTATCCATCTGCTCAAAGGGACGGGGTTTGTATTAAGGCATGCTTTTAATGTCACTCATTGCAACTGCTCATGATCTGCAGTGCGAGTAAAGTTATTGTCACACCTTAATTTGTTAGTCCCACATCATTTTTGCTTACTTGACCATTTTACTCTCTTCCTTTGATATTTTTCTTCTCCCATTTCATCTCCCCTACATCGTTACTGTGTTTTTTTTCTTTATTTCTTTTTCCTTGATTCCTTTCTCTTTGAGTAGTTTTGAAGGAAATCCTTGCTTTGTTTGAACCCTACTACTCCCCAAGAAATCTGAGGAAACAAACAAACAATTCTAATAATCTAAGTGAAAATGAAGGAGATGATGTCTTCAAACCCTTCCTAAGTTTCATTGCATTGTTTTCATTCTCCTTTTCTTTCTTTTATTTGATGGCATCAATTCTCAACGCAACTTTCAAGTTTTCCAGAGAAAGTTAAAAAGAGATTACCAGCCCTTGAAATCTTCACAAATAGTTGCAAATCAAGTGTACTCAGTTTTTGGTGTAAATAAAAATCTCATAAGAATTAACGAAATTGTAGGAGCAAAATTAGAGAGAGAGAAGAAGAAGAATTTGAAAAAATTATGGGAGCAACTTTAAAAAGAAAAGCTTTCCAGCAGGAAATTCGGAAAACAGACTAAAAAGAGAGAAAATTCCACAGTATAAACGCTAAATTACAATAAAAAATAATTATTTTTTATTTTTTATCTTACTTTATTTACTATAATGATTCAAATTTAAAATTTTTTATTTTCAATAAAAAAAACTTATATTTTAATTCGAAGAGTACAATTAAAGGAAAAAAAGTCTACATTTGCTTAATAAATTTTTCCTTCATATCTCTCTTTAAGGACAATTTTAAAATTTAGAACACCCTTGTCCATACTTGATAGTAGTTAAAATAAAAAAATCTTGTTAAGACTTTTCAACTTAAATTATTGAATATGATGTGAATTTTTAATATTATAAGTTGTAATGATTGTCCAGTAAAAAACTCTTCTTGAAAATTAGGTAGTTTCAACATTTAACATTATTTTGAAATGAAAGTATTGACAAACACCATATTTATATGAAATTAAAATTATAACTATAGTATTAGTATTGAAATTAATTTCACAATTTTTTTGTTCTCCTATGTTACTATAAATTTATACTAAAAATATATATTTATTACTTAACACAAAATAGAAAAATCTTTAAAAAATTTTTAGGTAATTAAGGAACCCATCTCTCGAAGCATCCTGAAAAAAAAAAAAAAAA